CTAAACAACCAGTGGGTCAGAGAGGCAATCAGAGAAATCAAACAAATAAACATGGAGACAGATTAAAATGAAAAAAAAAAAAAACTGGTCCAAAATCTTTGGGACGAAGCATAAATGCTTTAAGAACTATATAACAATACAGGCCTAACTCAAGAAACTGGAACAACCTCAAATAATCTAACTCTACACCTAAAGGAACTAGAAAAAATGAACAAAGTCCCAGGTAAGTGGAAGAAAGTAAATAATAATGATCACAACAGAAATAAATTACATTGAGACTAAAAATCAATAGGAAATAGCAATGAAACCAGGAGCTGGTTCTATGAAACAGTAAACAAAATTGACAGACCCTTATGCAGATTCATCAGGAAAGAAAGAGAAAGGACCCAAATAAGTAAAATCACAAAAAAAGAAAAGTACAGGCGAATATCTCTGATGAACATATGCAAAAATCCTCAACAAAATATTAGCAAATTACATACGATATATTCAAAGGATCATCCACCATGATCAATTGGAATTTAATTCAGGCATGCACAGATGGTTCAGTATTCACAAGTCAATCAGCATGATACGAATGAAGGCTAAAAATCCTATGATCATCTCAGTAGATGCAGGAAAAGCATCTGACAGAATTCATCATTCTTTCATGAAAAATCCAACAAAGTGGGGTTAGAGGGATCATACTTTAATATGATAAAGAACATATAGGAAAAACCCACAGCTAACATCATACTGAATGGAGAAAACCTGAGAGCTTTTTCACTAATATCAGGAACAAAATGAGGTTGTCCACTCTTGCCACTTTTATTCAATATAGTACTGGAAGTCCTAGCTGCAGCAACTGGGCCAGAAAAAGAAGTAGGCATCCATACTGGTAAGACAGAAAGTTAAAGTGCCGCATTAACTTTGCACCATGTTGCAAACAACAATATACATAGAAAATCATGAAGACTCCTCCAAAAAAATACTGGAAGCATTAAATTGCCCAGATATAAGCCAATGCTTATGTGACCACATATGATAAAGGAGGCAAAATGGTGAAAACATAGTTTCTTCAAATTAATGTTCCTCAGACAAGGAAAATAAATAAACTCTTGGGATTACACTTAAGATAAACTTTTGCATGACCAGGGAAACCATCAACAAAATGACAAGACAACTTATTGAATGGGAGAAGATATTTGCAAATGATTGATCTGATAAGGGGCTAGTATCTAAAATATATAAAGAAATTAAACTACACACACACACAAAAAAAAAACCCTCTCAAGTAATCCAATTAAAGAGTGGGCAGAGGCTCTGAGAAGACACTTTTTCCAAAGAAGACATACAAATAGCCAACAGACACATGAAAAGATACTGAACATCACTCATCATCAGAGAAATACAAATCAAAATCACAATGAAATATTACCCTACAGCTGTCAGAATGCCTGTGATCAAAAACATAGGAAATAACAAGTATTGTCGAGGATATGGAGAAAAAGGACCCTGTTGCAGTGTTGATGGAATGATAAGTGGTGTACCTGCTATGGAAAACAGTATGGAGTATTCTGAAAATTTAAAAATACAAATACCATGTGATCCAGTACTACCACTACAGGATATTTACCCAGAGAAAGCAAAAACGCTAATTCGAAAAGATCGATGCACTATGCTTATTGCAACGTTATTTACAACAGCCCCAATAAGGATGCAAACCAAGTGTCCATCCATAGATGAAAGAATAAAGATGTGGTGTGTGAGTTTATATATAGTGTTTGTGTGTGTATATATATAATGAATTACTACCCAGCCATTAAAAAGTGGGATCTTTCCATTGGCAGCAACACTGATGGACCTGGAGGACATTATGCTGAGATAAGAAAATCAGAGAAAGGGGTGCCTGGGTGGTTCAGTCATTAAGCATCTGACTTCAGCTCAGGTCGTGATCCCGGGGTCCTGGGATCGAGCCCTGCATTGAGCTCCCTGCTCAGTGGGAAGCCTTCTTCACCATCTCCCACTCCCCCTGCTTGTGTTCCTCTCTCTTCATAAAATAAATAAAATCTTTCTTAAAAATTATTTTAAAAATCAGAGGAAGACAAATACCTTATGATTTTAGTCATATGTATAATTTAAGAAAAAAATGAACAAAGAAAAACAAGAAAAACGTTTTTTTTCTTAGATTTTATTTATTTATCAGAGAGAGAGAGGGAGAGAGAGCCAGCAAAGGCAGACAGAATGGCAGGCAGAGGCAGAGGGAGAAGCAGGCTCCCTGCAGAGCAAGGAGCCCGATGTGGGACTCTATCCCAGGACGCTGGGATCATGACCTGAGCCGAAGGCAGCTGCTTAACCAACTGAGCCACCCAGACGTCCCAAGAAAAACAGATTTTTATTATATTTTTTGACAGAGACAGTGAGAGCAGGAGCACAAGCAGAGGGAGTGGGAGAGGGTTTCTCCCTCTCTTTCCCCACTCTCAGAGGCTTCCCGCTGAGCAGGGAGCCTAACATGGGGCTCAATCCCAGGACTCTGGGACCATGACCTGAACCAAAGGCACATGCTCAATGAGCCACCCAGGCGCCCCAGAAAACTAGACTTTTAACTAAAGAGAACAAACTGGTGGTTGCCAGAAGGGAGTTGGGTGGGGAGTGGGAGAAACAGATAAAGGGGATGAAGACTTCTAAATAAATAAGTCATGGAAATGAAAGTATAGCAGAGGGAATGTAGTCAATAAGAGTTAAATAATGTTTGGTAACACATGGTGAACTATACTTAATCATGCTGAGCACAGAGTAATGTATAAAATTGTTGAATCATTGTATTGTGCACCTGAAGTTAATACAACACTGCATTTTAATTATACAATAAAAAAATTTCTAAAAGAAATCCAGTTTTCTTTATACTTCCTGTGGTATCTGCTAACTTCTGCACATGTCCACTTTTAAAAATTAATTTCCACAATATACATCAGTGTCCTGGAAAGGTCCATGACCATGCATTTTTAAGAACTCTTCATTTAACTGCCCTACATATTAGTTGAAGATCAAAAAGTAAAGAAGTAAAGAGATTTGTTCAAAATCAGAGCTGGCAGGTTGAGGAGCTCACAGGGGGATTTGGGTCCTGCCTTCCCCCTCTCCCCACGTGCTCTCCTCTCTCTCTGCTCCAGCTGCGGGTTCACAGAGATTAGGAACTGACACACGGTACATGAAGCCGGTGTCTGCGGAACCCTGACCGCTCACCATGTCAGCAGGAGAGACTGCCCAGGGTATGGTCCGTAGGAGGTGACAAACCTGTAACACCATTAGAAAACAGTCTCTTAGGACTCCTTCATCAGACTTGTAGAACGAGGGGCATCAGGGTGACTCAGTGGGTTAAGCATCTGCCTTTGGCTGAGGTTGTGATCCCGGGGTCCTGGGATGGAGCCCTGCATCGGGCTCCCTGCTCAGCGGGGAGTCTGTTTCTCCTCCTGCCCCTTCCCTCTCCTTGTGCTCTCTTGCTCACTCACTCTCTCAAATAAATCAATCTTCTAAAAACTTGTATAACATTCTAAATCACCTACATGTGTGTTACTGTTAAAGTCACAGAATATATCATCATCATAAGCTACTCATCTCTCGCTATTACTGTGAGCCTGCCCTGTGGCACAGACCAAAAGAAGAACATAGAATTGGCATTCACAAGGGTAGCTTTCGTCTTAGAAAGAAATGACAAGCGAGTTCATGCTCCAGCAGACTACATTTCACAGGGGAAGTTTCAACTTCATTCTTTTTATCCCCTAGAAGATGACAGAAGCTCTTTTCCTCAGCAGTCCAGGGAGACAAACAGTGTTAGGTCTGTTATTAAATGAAACGAGACTGAGACAAAGTGAAAGTTATTTAAAGCTTTGTTTTATGCCAGGTATTAGAAGTCAGACTGACCAGCCAGGGCCATATCCGAAGAGAGCGACCACCCCCGGCTTACAGGCTCAAGAATCGACTGACTGACCGGTCAGGGCCGCCTCCGAAGAGAGCGACCCCTCCCGGCCTCACAGACTAACTTTCATAGGGCACAAGCCTGGCCATACATAGGTGGACAATGAGATTGTAACATTGCATAGTCATGTTAGGCCACACGCAGGTGGCCAATTGAATTACAATTTACCCTAGAGTAGCTGTTTGAACTAACCTATCACTCTGGTCAGAATTGGTGCTCAAGTTCGGCGCCCAAAAGGTGGGGTTTACATTCTTTTGGTGGTTAGGGAGACAGTATGTGTGCTTTTTACTGATTGGATGTCTCTACCTGGCCTGACTCGTCCTTGTCTTCTGGGCTCTGTTATCAGGAACTGGCCGACCATATTTTACTGGTTTCCCAGACTTGCTTCTAAGTAAGTTTCTGGGGAGGGGGGCAGGGTCAGTTTAAGTTTTACTGCACAAACAACAAAATGGCTTTTAACCAAGATGGAGTCACTCTGGCTAAATAGGTCCTTACAACAGGATCACCTCAAATCTTCCCTACTTCTAGGGTTAATGCAAGTATTATCAGGCTACTCCGACACCTTTGGAAGGTCTCAAGTTACTGAAAGAACACTGCCTTTCTTTGTCCAACCTTGAGCACTAAAAACCGAGCTATAATATTAACTGAAGTCTGATGTACACCTGATTCCTCCAAGATGTCCATGGCATCAGGATAAACTGGATTAAAGCATTTTTCAGAAAGTCATGCTTGTAAATATCAAGGGGATAAAACACAAGGTACAATTTACATTCCACGCCTATCAGGTGCATGAAATCAGTTTTGGTCGAATCATGGCCTCTTCTGGGCTTTGAGTTTGGAATTTACCAGATGGGTTAATAGTTCCATTCTCCCAGGCTCGTGATCTCTCACGATCATCATAACGAGCCATTAGAGAGACTGAGCGTATGTGGTCATGGTGCTAACCAGATATGAACAGAGGGAGGTCAGTGAGAGGCCGACTTTGACAAAGGAGCATATGTGCAGAAGGACAGCACAGCATCGGAGTACAACTGAGCCAACTTACTTACCTATCAGAAGTGTGAGGTCAGCGTCTGCTCCTGGTCTAACCTGGAACTGCGGGGTCCACAGCTCGCACTGTAGATCACACTCTTTGGTTTCTTCTAAAACTGTGACCTGAAAAGGAAAGAAAGGATTTTTGATTACCCTTGCCGCGGATGCAAATCAACTTCTCCAAGTAAAGATTCTGCATGAAAAAGAGGAAAATACACCAGTCTTTTACTAGCCCTATAACAGAAACCCTTCCAGTCACCACACACCCGTGGGAGAACTAAGCCTGGACCTAGAGATGGTCTGGGCTTGATACTCTGCAAGCCCTTTGTGCTGTCATCCACTGTGACCATTTCATGACTTCACGCTGTAATTTGCTGGGATTCAGTGGCCAAAGATACAAATAAGCCCCTCTGCTTATTTAAGCCACTGTCCCTGAGGTTAATGAAATAAATACCCCGTTAGCCCTATATCCACGGATACAGAAATGTTCCCCACTCGCTATTTAATGATTCCAGTGAGGGATGAACACCCTGGCACTAGGAGGGGACAGTTTGGATTTTGTACAGCACTGTCACACTAGTAGCTGTGAACAGTCTATATAAAACTGGACTGAGGGACGCCTGGGTGGCTCAGTCGGTTAAGCACCTGCCTTTGGCTCAGGTCATGATCCCAGGGTCCTGCGATCGAGTCCCATGTCAGGCTCCCTGCTCAGCGGGGAATCTGCTTCTCCCTCTGCCTGCCGCTCCCCCTGCTTGTGCGCTTTCTCTCTGACAAAGAAATAAAAGCTTAAAAAAAAATAAGATAAAACTGAATTGAATCACGTGAGATGCTAAGCAAGGAACAATTTATATGCATTTTCAAGAGACCCAATTTATAGAAGCATACATGCTTAGTACGCAGGGCTAGAGCTTCAGTTTATTCAAACTGGCAAAGGTCTTGAACCATATCTTGATTACATAAACCATTCAGGTAGTCCTGGCCCTAAACCTGCCCGCTGGCATGCTGCCAAAACACGACACAGCCCCTGCTGCATCGAAACTGGAGGGAAAACGATGATCCGTCAGGGGCGAAAAGATCTAACAGTGTAAGAGCTACGGGATATTCCCTCCTGTTGTAGCTTTCATCCCCAGCTCTCCCCAGGGCTCTCCCTCTACTCCCTTCACCCTTTATGTCACCTTAATGAGACCTTTGCTGTCCCATCTACGGGAAGGTGCAAATTCCCACGGCCTCCCCAAGCCCTAACACCCCCACCTCAGCTTGGTGCATAGGCTGGATTACTATCCATCATGATATAGACATGCATCTCAATGATCTGATCTTTTCATGCTCCTCCACTAGAATGTGAGCCCCATGTGAGCAGAGACAGTTTTTTTTCTCTTTAATGCCTGCATTTCCATACTTAAAAGTAGCATCTAGCACACATTAGATCAGCAAATGATTCAGCTTTGGCTATCAGCCGTAAAGTTCCTGCCGTTGCAGACTTGACCCTGTTAATTGCGTAGTGGGCACCTTTCAGGGTGTTCTACCACATAATTGCATTCTCCCACAAAAGCCCATTCAAAATAGATTCCATTCACTTCAGTTAAGATTTTGAATATTTCCTCAGTGTGTTAAACAAATATCACCTTTCTCCAGTCGGAATTAAAGACAGAAGCAATTACAACTCTTGGTTTTTGTATTTTCTCTCATAGTCCTCAGATAAGTAGTCAAACCATGATTTCTTTATCCATTTTGGTTGGGAATCTTGATCAAGATGTCAGCGTAAGACGATCCAGCACTTGCCTCTTCCCGTGGGTAACACAAGGCTACAACTACATACAGAGCATCTCCCTCAGAGAACCATCTGAGCAGGAGCAGAACTAATCACAGCTAGAGATACAAAGAAGCAGCCACGTCAGGAAGGGTGGGAGGGGCACTGAGAGGGAAATCACATGTCGTCCCTGAAGAACAAGGGTTTCAAGGTCCACATCAGGCACCCCCCCCACACACACACACCCTGGGGACCTGGAACAAAAAGATGAGACTCCATAATACTGGTCCTTGAAATCAGCTGTGCTTAACTCCAGGGGTGGGACTTCACTCTGGGTGTGCCACCGGGTGGTGGGAAGACGTGACTCTGCTTTTTAAAAGTAAGGCCCATGCACAAACTCACTTGCTCCGAGACCCAGCAGGGAGACAGCACTTTGAAAAGTGCCTGGGCCACATGTGAAGGAGATTTACTGACAACTTTGAGGGTATTTGTGGAAGGGACAGGGATCTGTAGGTACTTTCACCAAGAATGGGAGCACTGGTGGGTGCCATTGTTTTTGCCTCCCTGCCTAGCTGGCCCGAAATGGGTGGGCACCACTCTCCATCTCCGTTGTTGGAACTGCACACCCTGCCCCAAAGCAGCACCTCCAAAGCAGCTCCTGCCCCATTAAACTCATCAGTAACCGTGGCTAGGAGAGCAGCCCCCTCCACGCAGCTGCCACTCTGACGCATCTGGTGGGCAGCCTTGCCTGGGACTGACAGCCCTCCGAAACACCTCCTATCCCGGGACAGTGGGGGGCAACACTCACCACCAGTGTGTCCACGACTGGCATAGATGGGACTCATGGCCCAGCACACCCCTAGCAGTCATGGCCACAGCAAATAGGTGCATTCAGCCCACGTGGGACACCCCCGGGACATCTGGTTCTGGTGCACAGGGAAGATTGTGTTTTTGGCCCCCACAGGATGCTTTCTACATAAGACCACTCCTTGAAGCCAGGAGACATAGTCAATCTGCCTAATACACAAAAGCAAACAGGAGAGGGGCCCCTGGCTGGCTCCGTCAGTGGAACATGTGACTTGATCTCAGGGTTGTGAATTCGAGCCCCACACTGGAGGTAGAGATTACTTAAACAAACAAACAAACAAAAACCAAGCACATGAGAGAGTCAGGCAAAAAAGGGCACAGAGGAACATGTTCTAAATGAAAGAACAAGACAAAACCTCAGAAAAAGAACTAAACGAAGTGGAGATAAGCAATCTACCTGATAATGAGTTCAAAATAATGGTTATAAAGATGCTGGAAGTGAGAGAAGAATGGATGAACTCAGTGAGAACTTCAACAGAGAAGATTAACAGCAGACTAGAGGATGCAGAACAGCTCAGGAATCTGGAAGCTATGGTAGTGGAAATCATCGAAGTTGAACAGTAAATTTCTTTTTTAAAGTAAGGATAGTTTGTTTATTTTTTCTTTTTAAAGAGACCTCTGGACATTATTTAACATTCACTTTATTTGTAGGGGTTCCAGGAAAAAAAAGAGAGAAAAGAGCATGAAACATATTTGAAGAAATAATAGCTTAAAACTTGCTCAACCTGGGACAGAAACAGGTGCAGGAAGCACAGAGGCCCCTAATATGATGAATCCAAAGTGGCACTCAACAAGATATAATAATTAAAATGTGAAAATTTAAAGATAAAGAATCTTAAAAGCAGCAAGAGAATACAACTAGCTACAGACCAAGGAACTTCCATAAAGCTAGCATCTGACCTTTCAGCAGAAATTTGGCAGGTCAGCAGATACTGGCTTGATTTTACCAGTTTGGGTTGGCATAGTTGTTCTTGTAATTATTGTTTACTCATTAATATGGATATTTAAAGCAAACGGAACATAACAAAAATTCCCTTTACCCACTGTAAAAACACTTTCTTCTACCCTTGTATTTTCTGTGGCTGGCTTAAAACTCAAATTGGATTAAGAATAAGAAGAGTAGGGGTGCCTGGGTGGCTCAGTGGGTTAAAGCCTCTGCCTTCGGCTCAGGTCATGATCCCAGCATCCTGGGATCGGGCCCCGCATCAGGCTCTTTGCTCAGCAGGGAGCCTGCTTCCTCCTCTCTCTCTCTGCCTGCCTTTCTGCCTACTTGTGATCTGTCAAATAAATAAATAAAATCTTTAAAAAAAAAGAAGAGTAAAACAATTTTAATTATGTACAGAGAGGAAGGGGAGTTTCACAATTCTCTAGGAGCAATGCTCTTAGCACAGATATTTTTATTAATGGAAATTCCCTTTTAAAATGTAAATTTCTTTTAGAAGAGGTAGAGTTTCTCTTGTGCCTAATACTTTCTGATTGTCTTTAGCTCAAAATAATCCATATGCTGAACAGGCATATTTTGGGGTGCATATTCTGAATATCTTCACCACCAAGAAAGCAGCTTCAAAAATAATCCCCATTTTTCTGTTTTTGATGGTTTTTACTGTATTATTTCAAAGCATATTGATATCACCCAAAAGTGCTAAATTATATATACTCCATATAATCTAATGTATCATACACTCTAACACAAAACACTTTAAAAAATACCATGATTGGGGGCACCTGGATGGCTCAGTCATTAAGCATCTACCTTTGGCTCAGGTCATGATCCCAGGGTCCTGGGATCGAGCCCCTCTCAGGCTCACTGCACAGCGGGAAGCCTGCTTCTCCCTCTCCCACTTACCCTGCTTGTGTTCCCTCTCTTGCTATTTCTCTCTCCATCAAATAAACAAAATATTTTTTTAAAAAATACCATCACTGCATCTTACAAATATTAGTTATTCCTTAATGTCACGTGAAAACATGTCTATTTAATTTTATTATAGGCATCCTAGTAGAAATGAAATAGTATCTCCATGTACTTTTAACTTCTATTTCCCTAATGACTAAAAATATTGAGCATCTTTTCTTATATTTATTGGTGTTTCTAAACTTACATTTATTAGTGTTTCAAGACACACTACCCTTGGCATACTGAATTTCTTTTTAAGATTTTATTTATTTATTTGACAGAGATCACAAGTAGGCAGAGAGGCAGGCAGAGAGAGAAGGGGGAAGCAGGCTCCCCGCTGAGCAGAGAGCCCGATGCGGGACTCGATCCCAGGACCCTGGGATCATGACCCGAACTGAAGGCAGAGGCTTTAACCCACTGAGCCACCCAGGTGCCCCCTGAATTTCTTAAGCTGAAGGAATTTGAGAAATTGCATATGCACAAAGGACTTTCTGACCTTTTGCTGAAACCCTTATATGAGAGGTGCCCTCCATACCTGGAGGAAAGGAGCATCCTTCTCTCTGAATTACAAGGGACACAGAGAGGAACCTGAATATGAACAGGAATTGCTGTTTCCCCCATTTTACTACACTTAATTATACTGTGTCCTATGATAACTTTCTGTGACTTTCCGCTTTTCATCAGACATAGCATAAAAACACTGTGCTTTAATCATTCTTAAGGTTCTCATTTTCTCATGACAACACCCAAGTCATTTAAATTATTAAATAAAACTGATTTCTTTTCTCTCGCTC